CCACCGTAAGACGTTGCGTCACAAGCGCGTACAGCGTACACGGTTCGGAGCGTGAGCGGCCACCGCGGTGCACCCACAAAAGGACGAATAACTTTTTGTCAACCTGCGGGCCATTTTTTTTCTCAGCAGCATAATTTCGAGAAATGATTGGAGTATATGTGTTTTTTTTTTCGAGTCGATAGCTGGCGCAGAAGCCAATTATTTCCGAATTTGGTATAAAAAAAACAAAAAAAAATCGACCTAAATGAAAATTGGACAATTGAAAAAAATATCAAAGAATCTATGTCAAAACAAGATTCCAACGCTAGTTATATCGTTGGAATCGGATAATTAGTTCAGCCATAATTAATTTTTTTATTTTTTAATTATTAAAAACTTTGACTTTTAATATCATGAATATGTCAATTAAAATTTTTTTTTTACAAAATCCTTTAGGATTTGTGTTTATGATGTAAAATACTATCAAAAAAATATATCTACAAACAAAAACTAATTTTGACCTAATTCAGGTGGCCCGTTTGAGAAATTCTGACCCAGTTACATTCTTATAAACATTTTTTTTCTTAATAAAATTTGACAAAAAAGTTAATGTGTTATATATTTTTGCAAATCCCTGGCATAAAAAAAAATATTTTCGCAATAAAAATTCGGAAAATTTCGGGAATTTTCGATGGAAAGTTTCCGGGAATTTTCGTCAAATGGGAATTTTCCCATCTCTAGAAAATAACCCTGTTCCAAACAACAATTTATAATATGTGTAAGATGGTACCTGCAGGAAAACATAATTTAACCATCTGGTGAGAAATATTATCTAAGCTGCTAGCATTTTATTTAAGAGAGAAAATTGCATCTTTTATATCCTTAACAGTTGCTAACTTAAGTTTTAGGTCATTTTTAAACAAGTTTCAATTATAAAATTCATTTGAACATAAATTTGATTTACTAAATACGGAAGTAATCGATAATTTTTTCGGGATCCTTTAGAGATGCAGAAATATCTGGTTTACTTTTATTATGAATATTTAAGAGCCTTCCTGATATCTTTTTAAGATTGATTATGCAGCTTTTTCGCGATTTAACGACGAGCGTGCAAAATTACGCAACATTTTATAATTTTCCCAATTTTATGAACTTTTTTTGGGTTTAAACTTTTTAAAAGCTTTGTCACGTTCATTGAAAATGATTTTTAAATTTGGTGTTAACCACAGAGATTTTGGTTTACTTACTCTTTTAGTTTCCAATTAAGTCGACTTTTTCGTCCAGATTAAAACATTTTAGAAAAGTAATAAGCTTTTGTTTAAATGTTTCGACTTGAACATATAGATCGCAGTATACTAAGCTGTGATCTGATACAAGGTCGGCATTAACTACTTCAGATCTAAATATATTTTCAGGGCAGTTTACAAAAATAGGATCAAGTAAAGTAGTACTTTTCTTGGCGTAAAGCCAAATGAATCAAGACAATTAGTTAATGGATTATCTAAGTTAAAAAAGGTTTACATTCATATTACCCAAAATAATGACTTTGTCATAAGTGGGAACTATATCACACAAAATATTATCAATAGTCTCGATATTAATAAAAGTCACCATTATTTTCAAAATCCCTGCAACGTAAAAACCTACACCACCGCCGCGCTTTTCAGTTTGGCGATTTCTGCGAATAAACTAATAGCCAATGGTTTCGGTAAAAACTCGTTTAGCCTAGTAATACCGAGACAGATTAACGAAAATTCATAGAAAATATAATATTTGCTTTTTTTAAATAAAATATATATGGGCGTCACTTTCATAAATAACCATCATAAGTGACCATAAATGACCGCCACAATCATAAGTGACCGAGTTAATTTCAAATGTGACCGATTTTAAATTTCTGTTTTGTGGGTTATGTAGAGTCATAGAAACGGGTTTAGTTTTTAAATTTAAAGGCCTTAATTAAGGGTTAATGATAAGTATTTTTTTATTTACAAATAATTTTTAAATTACAATTACAATGTTCCCTGTCCTTTATTTTTAAAAAGTAACTTAACACGTTTACCCACTCATGCCTTTGTAATACCTGTCATTTTAGAATACATAAGTATTTTAACTAACAGCATAGAAATCAAATTAATACTACAAGTATTTGGTATCATTAAAAAGCTCTCCATTCAAGCTATTATTAAAAAAATAGAAATACATAATTATAGTTACGGTCACATGCAAAATAAAATAAAGATAAAAACATTTTTTTTTAAATACACAGAGCTGGACCGCACAGTGTTTTGGAAATCTAAAAAGTGGGCGAAATATCAAGGAGTACTCAGATTGATTTGAAAATCGGTATTTAGAGGTTTTTGGGTCGTTGATAACAAATGAGGAGGTCCATTCCAAAACTCGGCTTATCCACTTTTTAATAAAAATGAGTTAGTGGTGTCTGTACATTTAACATGTATTCCCCTATACCCTGAAAACTAACCTTATTCCATTTAAAATTCATTTACAAATTGACTATTGTTCCAAAACTTGGTTACAACAGTTGACTCGAACGGCGGACATTTTTATCAAGATGTACTCGGATTTTAGGAGTTTTTGAAGTCGGGTTGACTTTCAAATCTATTTTTAGGAGTTTTTGAAGTCGCTGTTAACGAATGTCATTAGATTCTCGAAATTTAAAATGGCGGATTCAAAATGGCTGACATTTAAACCCCTGGGAGCATAAAGTTTCAAGAACAACCCAAATAAAAACCACTCTAATATATATACATATGTATAGCTAACCATAGCTAGCAAGCATAGCTAACCCGGCGAACTTCGTCTAACAGTCAATAAATGTCGTGTGTTGCCAGTACCGCTGGAGTGACCATCTGGATCTCGGCTTATATATAGGTCGTCCAAATTTTGAGGCCTGTTTACATAGACGAGGTTTTTAAGATATCCCCATAAAAAGAAGTGTAAAGGGGTCAAATCGGGCGATCGCACTGGCCACTCGATTTGACCCCTTTGACCTATCAAGCGATTGGGGAAGACCTGATTTAAATAATCCCTTACTAGCAATGCATATTGTGGTGGTGCCCTGTAACAGCGAATACCAAAATACCAAAATCACAATCGGCGGCAAAAACCTACTTTTCTTAAAAACATTTTTATGTAACCCTTCACATGTAGCATATTAATGTACTCAGGACAACGTTAGCTATCCAAAAATGCAACAAAAATAAAGGGTTGTAATTTAAAAAAACTTACTTCGATTGGGGCGCCGCCACGCGGCCGATTTTGGATCAACTACATAGGCTAAAGAATTGCTAGTAAAATAACAAAGTTAACTTGTTTCAACGTTTTTTTTTAATTACCGTTTTCAAAATAATCTCATATTCCGGGACTTTACGGACACACTGTATATTAGGGTGGTCGTTAAAAATTAAATTTTTTGCGACACCCCTAAAATGCTTTGTTTTGATGAAAAAACACTGGGAAATTATTTTTTTTAAATTAAAAACAACACGTGCCTCAAGGCAATCTAAGTTAATTATAAGTATAATCATGTCTTTTCTGAAAATATGGAATAATAATTATATTAAATTATTATTATTATTAAATTATTAACAATAAAATAACTTCACCTTGGAGTGAAGAAATCTAGATATTAAAATTACGTTTGTATTTAATTTAGTTTTAAAATAAAAATATCAATTTGAATATCTTTCATTTTTTTATTTAAAAGAGTGGGAAAATTTTTGAATTTAAATTTTTGTCTATTGTTATTTTGATTAACTATTGTTTTTTTTATTGATTTGGGTTCTATAATTGTTTATATTTCGAATAAAATTTTAATTTAAAAAATTCCCCAAAAAACATGATTATACCAAAAAATTAACTTAGATCGTCTTGAGGCACGTGTTGTTTTTAATTACAAAAAATTCCCAGTGTTTTTTCATCAAAACGAAGCTTTTTAGGGGGCGTCGCAAAAAATTTAATTTTTAACGACCACCCTACTGTATATATTATACACAAATTTATGTTTTCCCAAGTTTTAACCTTGCATTGCATTATAAAACTATGCAGTAGTCGGCATAAACCAATAAAAAGTAACACTGATCTGAACACAGAGCGCGGTGTGCCGTATATTACAAAAAGCGCGAACAAATTTTTTTTTCTGGAGCTGCGGCACCTAGAATTTGGATGTATCGATAGACAAAGGTCCAATCTATACAATGCAACTTGAATTAGAGGGGTACTTTGGGGTACTTTTTTTGTAGCTCTATGTTTGCAAAAGTTCGATTTTAAATTTCGCATTTTAACGGTCCGATCTTTTAAGTTGCATGTGAAATTTAGGAAAAATAAATATATAACTGAATTTTACATACCTTGAAGATCACCCTCCATCAAACTGAATAAAAATCAGACTTTCCAAACACAAATTATTCACTTTTGAAAATCACTGATTTTTTGCAGCGCTCTCATGAAATTCGACTTAGAACACAACCGTCAAATTTAAACTGACGTAAACGCAAAAATAGACGGAATTTATACAAAAATCCTTTGACACAAGATGGAGTATTAATTAACACTTTACCTTACAATTTACCTAAACAAAAATTTTTGGATTTCGCCCACTTTTCCGAGAATTGAAACACTGTGGACCGGTCCAATTTTTTTGGAAATAATAAAATTACATTATGAATTAAACGTCCCAAAATTCTTTCCGTGCTAATTACTGTATCACCACTTAAAAGACAGCCTGCTTAAACTATCTTAAGTGAATTTTACCATCTATTTATATGGGTTAATAAGTAAAACGGTATATTAATCCCTGAGCAGTTCTGTAGTATTAAAGCCCGCTGCACAATAGCCCGGTAACGGGAACGGGAATCCTAACAATAAAGGTGGGAGAGTAAAAAACCACTGTTGATAGATAGGGTTTGCTGCACCTTTACCGTTTAGTTTCCCGTTCCCGTTACCGGGCTGTTGTGCAGCGGGCTTAAGATATAAAATAGGTAATATCATACAATACTTACATTTTGTCACCAATGGCTTCACATTCCTTAAGAATCTCGAAGAGCAAGAACATTTTTCCGCTGTTATTGACGTTGTTAAGCTGTTCACCGTCGCAGAACTCCTGCCACCACTCCTTTTTGGCTTCCACCGGCAACATCTCGATGTCGCTATCGCTGTCACCATTCTCACGGCGCCGCGCGCGTGTCGCTCTTGTTGTACGTTTGCGCACCACAGGTTCCGCTTCGGAACCGGATTTGGAACCGTCACTGGTTGACGCCGCCTCGCTTTCCGAACCGTTGCCGTCGTCGATAAAGTCTTTTAGGGAACCTTCCGAATCCTCATCCTCCTAAATATATATTGAAATAATATATGTAATTGGTCCCAGTTACGCCAAAAGCAACCAACCAAAGGTGCCATCCCTTGATCAATCATGTCATGCAGTCGGTATAGTATCGGTATAGATAGAGCGAGTCAAAAATCTTTTTTAAAGTTTTAAGTTTTTTGACTCGCTACATCGATACCAAACATAATCGACCAAAAGCCTCTCGTCCATCGAAAGACAACAATATATTAAATTCAACTCCATCCAGAAGATCTGAGAAAACGGGAAGATTTTTTTGGAACACTGGAGGCGATTTTATACCCTTCGTTAAAGAAAAGTTACGATGATACCCGTTTTTTAGGTTACGATGATACCGTTTTTTCAAAAAGGTTTCGTTTACAAAAATAAGTTTGAATGGTTCTTTTATAAATTAAGAAATATGGGATTAAAACGAAAACTGTGAAGAACATCAAAGATATTATAGCTCCATCTATATCACAAATTTTAAACAAGGAACGTATCCAGATGGATTAAAAACAGCAAGAGTTACAGTCATTCATAAAACAGGATCAAAATCTCAAGCAAACAACTATAGGCCCATATCCGTATTATCAAAACTTGCTAAAATATTCGAAGTTGCTCTAAAAACAAGACTGCTTAACTATCTAGAAAATATAAATTTATTTAATATGCACCAGAATGAGATTTTTAACTAAACAAAATACTCAAACAGCAGTATCTTCCTAATTGGAATATGTATATACAATGATTGATATTGGACATACAGTGATGGCATGCTTTTTGGATCTTCAAAAAGCCTTTGATGTAGTAGATCACAATATTTTGATAAACAGATTAAAATCAATTGGAATAAAAGGCAAACCACTTGAACTTTTCAAAAGTTATCTTACAGAAAGAAGGCAATCTACAACAATAAATGACATCAAAAGCAACATTGAGGTTATCATCAGTGATCAATTTAAATAAATTGCCCAACATGAAACTAAATGGAAACTTAACACTCTTTGCCGACTACACTGCTCTTTTATAACAAATTACTATTTGACAAACATGTAGAAAGCATACGGAGCAAAATAAATAAATTGATCTATCCCCTGTATCATTCAGCCAAATTCTTCAATCAAGAAACCTTCTTAAAGTGTGAGATATTGTAAAATTAAAAATAATATAATAGAGACTGACATATCATTGGTACAAAACTGTGATATTCACCATTACAATACTCGTACAAACCAAAACTTTTATATTTTACCAAGTGCAAGAAACATTGGAAAGAAGAGAGTAACTACTACGGCTGTCAAATGGTACAATGAACTTCCAAATAGTATTAAAGTCTTAGATCCCATACAGCACAAGATGTCCATTGAACGTCAAATGGACTTACATTGGACGTTTGGATGTACAATGGTCGTCCGCTGGACGTCCAATGGATATATGTGCTGTCTGGGATGTTAGCTATAATATATATTAAACGTACAATTGAATCGCTTATTACTAAAAGGTACGTCAATCTTTTGACATTTTAAGTATATACCAATTTCTATATAATAAGCGATTCAGTTATATAAAGACACCGTCTTGAAACTCGAAGAGGTCGGATGCGTCAAGATCCCTCCTAAGTGGCGTATACGATACAAACGTAAAGTACCAAAAACGAAACAAAGTATCCGGAAATATCGGTAATCGTTAATAAATAATAAATAAATACATAAATAAACAAACAAGTGCGAAAATTGTGAGATAACGCCGTAAAAGTGTGCAAGTGAATAAGTACCTAATTGAGGCTAGGCAGCAACGATAAGTCAACCGGCGCACCTGGATCGGAGCGTTCCAAAAATATCCTTTTTCTATGCAAAAACCTGCAGGAGAAGGCCACCCCGCAAAAGACAAAGCATCAGGTTTATAGCCTAATAATCAAGCTAAGTAATTCTTCTAATTGCATGTCTTACCGTATAATCGTTAAATGTTTATATAAGCATTTCACAATGTTGCAAAAAAATCTAAGAATTCTATTCGTCTTAAAAATTAAATTTTAAAAATAATAAGAACATTTCCGTAACTGTTAAATAAACAACCTAATTTTCTCATAGTAGACAAACGTAAACCACCAGTGTAAAAGGCGTAAGCAAATAAACCAATTCAAGCAAGAAGACAAAAATTTATCATAAATAAATTTAGGGTCACACCCATAAATCAAAGCCAAACTAATACACAGAACTCAAGAGCCAAGCAGGCCATAAGGCCGCATTCCACTATATACACTACAGGGCCGGCTCTATTTTGAAGATTGGTATTTACATAAAGTGATTAATTAATTAATTAATTAATTGATTGATTGATATTGATATAATCGTATTGGTATTGGTATTGATGGTAATATTGTTGGTATTAATGTTGATGTTGATATTGGCATTATAGATATTGATATTAGTATTAATATTGATTGATTAGTTGGTTGATACTGATATTAACGTTAATATTGATTAATTGATTGATTGGTTGATATTGGTATTGATTATTTGTATTATTTGGTATTAGTATTGGTATTGACTAATTGATATTTATATTGAATTTATATAAATACTAATTTAACAGGAAACCAGGCAACAATGGATCATTGCAGAGGGCAGAGTGCGTGTGTGAAGGGAAATCAAGTGGGTGCGTCGCAATATTATATTATTGTATTATATATATTATATAATATACACATAAGCTCACGCAAGCAAAGCTTGGAGGATGGAGAAAGTAAATGGGCAAAGCCCCCACGTGAAAATGAAGTGGTAGGCCATCTATTGAGGCATGCGTTGCACGCCTGACATAGGGACCGGGTTTCAAATATTGATGCGATACACCACAGGGCCGGCTTTATCTATTTTTTATATTAATATTTTTATTTTTAAATTAATTTGAAAAAAAATAAGTAAGAAGGCAAAGATATAAATAAATGAAAACGGTATGAACACTAATATAGCAATAAAATAAATAAAGAATATACAAGGTTGGTAGCCGGAGTAAGCAAAAAACTAACATACCCACCCCCATTCACGAATACCAATTGAATGGGGATACTACTAAGGCCTAGGTTGAGGAGGATTCCGGATTGTACTTAGTTTTGGGTCAGTTCAATGTCCTCCAAAAACCCTTCCTAAACTGGACGTATGGCCCGACCCGGCTGACAAAAATCCCGGGAGCTGCCTTAACCTTTGACACTGTCATCCACGAACTCCTAGGGTGGATCTACCAGCCGGCGTAAAAACTTCGGATCCAACAAACACAGGTAATGCTGTGATTTGGCGGGATACGCAGGAGAACGGAAAGGGGGTAATATAACCCCGGGAGATCAGTGGATGACAATATATCTGGGGCTTGCCATACGTTCCCATACTCATACTCATACTCATAAGCGATTCAGTTATATAAAGTATAAACTAAGGTTGGATCCGTCCGACAGACGTCGAATTTTATGATTGGATACGAGATGCGAGACATTTTTTAGTTATATTAATATATTATGTTTATAGTATCCACTCCAATTAGTATTAAATATCTTTTAAATTTGTAGGACACTAGAAATTATAAAAAAATACGTCAAATTATATAAGGAGGGGGAACTTCTAGCACATAATTTAATTTAATTAGGCACCTCCACTTTAGAATTTCAAATGGCACTCCCCACCGAGTGACACCTTGTTTTGAAGGGCATACAATTCTCTAAAAGAGTAATAAATCGGATTGTCGGTTTTGTTGTATTCATAACGTGCTTCAGGTCAGTTTTAAAATTAAAATGGTATACACTTTGGAGGAAAGAATTGAAATAATTTTTCTTTACGGGGCTGAAAATCGTTGTGCGCGTCAAACCGAGTATTCAACGAGAGCCATCCGAATAAAAACGTTAAGATGGAATTAGTGCGAAAGTTTCGAGGCACCGGGAACTTCCCGGCGGGAAGGTATGTAAAAAAAAGTACTATGCCAAGGATTCTGGATGAGGCTTGCCAAATTGAAGTATTGGGTAGCCTCTCGTATCCAATCATAAAATTAGACGTCTGTCGGACGTTTCCAACCTTAGTTTCTACTTTATATAACTGAATCGATTATTATATAGAAATGGGTATGCAACTTAAAATGTCATTTTTTTTTAATAATAAGTGATTCAATTGTACGTTTAATATATCGGCCCTATTAGGCCCTTTAAAACGAGGTGTCACTTGAGGGGTGTAATTTTTTTTTTAATTTATTTAAGGGGACATACATATGAACTCGTAAAAATGAACGGTTTTTGTCGATTTTTTTTGGTATATAATAATAATTATATTGAAATGAACCATAAAGCATCAAATAGGATATGTTTCGAAGTATTTGTAAAAAAAATTCTATGCGAAAACATTGAAAGTTGTGGAAAATACGGTCCTTGCCCCGAAACGCCTTTTTTTAAGCGTTTAAGATCTTAATGAAAAAAAATCGATATTAGTACGTAGTATCACCCCCTTGACCCATATTTCTGACACTAGGCAAAACATAATAGTGTTGATTTGTCCTGGTGTTGTGTTGGTGTATTTGACAGTTCATTTGTAGTATTAATTCTATTTGAAGCATGCTATTTTTTATTTTAAATATTAACTTTACAGAATCCAGTTTAATAAGCTCGTATACTTGAAACAACTTTAGGTCATAATAGAGAGTTAGTGTATTTGTTCTAAAAAGTTTGCAAAATATGAGTTTTGTTTCACGATTTTGGTTGGTCTAGGTCATACTTTGTTGCTTCGCCCCAAATACATGGAAGGTACATTAGGTGGGTATTTAGTTGGTATTTCTTTGAATAAAAAAACATAGTTTGACTTACATTTAACTTTATACCATTTTCAGTTGAAATTCTGGGGGAGAGGGGATGAGCACTAGATTAAATTAAATAATATAATAGAAATTCCTCCTCCTTATTTAATTCGACGTATTTTTTATATTTTCGTGTGTCCTTCAGATTTAAAAGATATTTCCAATGGTCCTTA